ACTAGAATAAGACAAGACTAAGAACACTTTTCGTGTTCGTCTGATGCTTCAATGCTCGGTTTTGCCGATCGAGTCTTGATATGATTTCCGGCATGTCGATTTAGTCGTTATGGAAGCTGCACTGAAAGCAACTTTATCAGCAATGTATCAGGAAAAAGTCAAATAAAACAAACTAACGAACCTGAATTCCTTACCTTTGAAATAAATGTGCTTCGACAAAAGAGAAAATGAAGAAACTTCCCTTGTTTTCGAGTTAGGAAGCTGTTCGTACCAGACACTCCTTAAACATTCCACTCTGCTGAAAGGTTGACCTGGGCACGGGTTGTCAATCAGTAATGTTGAAAAAAAAAATCAAACTTGCATTTGATTTGGTCTTTGTCATGCATCTTATCAGAAACATCAGAGAAATTAGATATTTTTACAAATAGCTGTAACCCCTCAAACAACATGGATTTTCTTTTGAAATTGCGTCATGTAACGATCTAAATTACATCCAAATACCGCGGTTAATTGCAACAAAAATAGCGAAGTGTCAGCCGTCACGATTATGCAGTGACCTCAGAACGCTTCATGCACAGAAGGCTTTCGGGGATTACCCTTTTGTTAGTCTGCTACACGTAAAATCTTTTTGGACAATTAAACATGCCTAAACCTCTTAACAAAGAAAGAAAAGAGCAAGACAAATACAAAAATAGACTATCGAAAAAAATTAACGTTTTTTATGCCATAGTTTAAAACACGAGAGAGAGTGTTTTATCAGGTATAAAGTCCATGCATGTGACCAAATAGGCTCATTCTATTGGCCTAGTAGCTCATTAATTATGTATGAGTTTTTGAAAAATATTGTAAAAGAGCAAGACATACAAAGATTGAAGACTGAACAAAAAGAGCCAATAACAACATGAAAGAGCACAAAAATTACCAATATATGAATTATTTGCTTAGTCGGGTTTCCAAATAGAAAAACACAGTAAAAAAAAAAAAAGTAAAACACCGACAATTTCAATTTTTTTGCCTTCAAAGACGGATGTGCTTATTTCGAGTGATCAAAAAATTAGTGGTACAGTCTACAGAATACAATGGAATAAAGAGCGTCTATGTCAGAAGAAAAGCATTTTATTTTATCTCAAGTAATGTTTGTCTTTGTACTTTTTTTCTCGTTGTAAAGATGTTCTGAAGATTAAAATGTCTCTTCTTCCATGACACTCAACTGTTGAGAACGTGGGTCAAYTTGACCAAGTTCCGTCCCTCGTAAGATGTCTGGGAAGACGGCAATAACGTAGATACCTGYAGATACCAGTCTTTGTCCATGGAGATGGATCAAAGGTGATTCGTCAAGGTCACCGAGGGCGTTCATCACGTTGGTATCCAGTTGAGCATTGCTAGAAGGATGTCGTGAAGACACCACTGGGTTTCGAGTCTGGAAATGATTGATGTATTGTTACACGTAGTCCATGTCSATATATAGACCTGAATTAGTATTACGCAWTGCATTGTMGTCTAGATTCAGTACAAACATATTATATTCATGCGACAAAATATATGGTGTCGTTTGTACTGGCACTACAATCGTTGACAAAATCCTTGGATCATTTCAGCGAATTTCCTCATTCAAGCAACACCCGCAGACAATTTCATCCCCCTGATCCCCCTAAATGCAATGTTGTCATTGATCATGTTACCATAGTACACAAGCATCCAAAACAAGACCCAGCATTGATGAAAGGGGGCTATAAGGGCGGAAAATTGTGAAAAATAAAGGAGAAAAATGTTAGGCTGAAGACAAATAATTCTATGGTCTAAGGTATTTTGGCAACGATTGTAGACTACAATGCAAACCGTAAAAGGCCTATACTATAGATGGGCGTATGCTACTGACTTACTCGCAAGTTCACGGAATTTCAAAGATTTGTTCTAATRTATACTGATAGTACCTCACATGGTGTCAGCCCTTGACGCACAAAACCTGTTTTAGTGTGTGTACTACGTCAACTAGGTCACTTTGAGCTGCCATGACTTGATCGATGTCTTTGTAAGCCATTGGTGTTTCATCAATGACTGAGGAATCCTTACGGCACTCTACACCTTGTGTGGCTTGGATGTGATCTTGTATAGTAAACGTCTTTTTGGCTTTTGTCCTGGACATGACTCTCCCAGCACCGTGGCTACAGCTGTAGATAAAAAATRCTTGAAACGTCGCGTTCCACAAGGTTACATCATGAAAGTAACGGCCAGAAAGTAACATGGGAAATGTATATTATAACAAATATACTCGTAATGTAAATAAATATACTTATGTCCACTTGGGCGTTAGCTCAATATCAAATCGCCTTTTTTTTCAATTACGGGTATTGGATATTGAGCATAGTCTATGACGACGGCCAGGTTGAAGGGGGATTTATAAAGGTGAGGATACTCTCACCTAGGAGGTACTACAGTACTACCGAGTACTACCGAGTTTGGTGATGGAGTTCTGCCTGGTCTCTTGCCGTAGCATACCAGAACAAACCTTACACTTGCACATGCTGTTTCAGATTTTGATGAGATGCAAAAACGATTATTAAAAATATTTTCCGTAGCATATATTTCAAATGCCTAGTGGACTAAAACAACCAAAACTACAGAAAACGAACCCATATACACAACTCGTACACAACTCGTACACAACTCGTACACAACTCGTACACAACTCGTACACAACTCGTACACAACTTGTACACAACTCGCTTTACAACGCAACTGATCCTTATACTTTAATAAACACAGTATCTTGTAGCTTTTTACCTGTGAAATGAGTCGGGATTTCCTCTCCCTCTAACGATGTATGACTTGGCTCCCATCGAGCCAGGAATGATACCAAGCTCATTTTTACGTGCGGAAACCTKCAAAAGGGAGGRGTTATTGATAGTTTTATGTACTAAATACTGCCGCGGCTGCAAACAAAAGAAGACTAAAAACTGCAACATGTGGTACATCTTTTCTACACGCACTATACACTGGAAAAAATCGCGCGTCATAAAGGTTGTAAATTTGATGGAAATATGATGTAAGTGTCCAAAACGATGCAAATTTGATGGAAATGATTTACATCAAATTTTCATCATTTTGGACACTTACATCATATATACATCAAATTTAMAACCTTTAAAGCGCGCGATTTTTTCMAGTGATACACTTACTGCGCCTTTTCGTGTAAGATAAACCTCTTGACCAAAATGGGTTTCAACATTGACATAGTTATGATGGCAGTTGACTGCAGCATTTTGTAGATCAACTGAGAAGGATGGCATATCAGGACACCTCTTTGCAGCATCAATCAAATGAGTCATCATAATTTGTCTGTTCARTTTAGCATATTTCTGTGCCCAAGAGACTGCAAACACATAGTTTTTGAAGTTTTGCGTGCCTTCCTTGAGATATGATAAATTCTTGTCGACCTACATACCAAATGGAGATACAAGTTATATTTAATGTATGGAGTGCAAGACTGCAAAGAGTTGCAATTATACCCAAATTCACACATTCAGGGGTGGACCCAAGAAAAGAAGATAGTTGGGGGCTAAACATTTCACAGAGACAGAGAGGAGGGGAGTCCTGACTTCATAATTGCAGTTTTGATGGTTGCGGACGTAGAAAGCGATTCCATATTTTTCCGATTTGTCTTGAACAGGGTATGGATTTTCACTTTATAGTGACTTAAACAGGGTTTTAGACCACTGGCGGCACGTACCTATCAAAAACAGGGTCGAGTACCTCCCCCCCCGGGATTTTGTATTGAAAACATTCTGAACCACAAGCATACAGCATCCTTACAACWCTACATCGTTGTACCTTTGCAGTTTTATCAATCTTGATCATGTCTTCTTTGGCTAGTTCTATGTAGACTGAACCAATCCTGTTGCCTGGACCACGTGACCCTGAATGAAGCATGAACCACACACTATCCCACTCATCCAGGCACATCTGTACAACAATAATAATGTATAGAATAACAAGCACAGTAAGGCCATGACTACAATGAAAATTAGCCATGCCCWGGCTCTGCTTATAAAATGCTGTTTTTTCCCTGTTCAAGTGGAGGGTCACATTCCTACTGTGGCTAAGAGACTTAAGTATTCTCAAAGCAACAGTGTCATCCATTTACACTAAAAAGAAAGCCAAAATACAACTAGGCGCGGCTTTACTCTGGTATCCAGAGTCTAGTTATTATAAAATAAATTTGAAAACTGGGTAGTTCAAATTAAAAAGTTAAATGCAGAAATGGATAGGCCACCCCCCTTAGTTATGGAAAAACTACGATCATGTGACATTTTGATAGCTTGATTTTACTCCGGCTTTTACTCTGTGAACAGAGCTACTTTTCTCACCCGCTCTGTTTGTAGCTCTGTTTGCAGAGTACTCCAGCTTATAAATCATACCCAAAGTGTCAGGAATCACATGAAAATCATCATTTCTGTCTGCTCTAGCACTCTGACAATGATCAATATATCTATAGACATAATGAATTTTGATTGATCAACCAACCTCAATAAAGTGATTTCCAGTYCCAAGRGTCCCTAAATGGTTAACATTAYTCTTGGCTTTTGCAGAAGGCTGTTTGGTGCATATGTACTCATAATCTTTAGATATTTGACTCCATTGTTTCTTAACTATTTCTGGTATTCTATTCATTTTCCAGGAGCCTATATCACCAGTTTTTCCCTAGAAATTAASAAAAATTTACAAATTGCTACACACATTTTTCATAACTATGGTATCCAAGGACTTTCTAAGCCACAGACAAAAGCAGATAAAAAAAAATACCAGAGAGAATTTTTCACTCAAGGATTTGTTCTTTTTACAGCAGTTAACCCTTTTTTGAACCTTAAATGCTCACTACTATGAATTTTAAAGAAGTTGTTGGGATTTGTGTTTTTCTGCGAATAGTCTCCTCCATGGTTCCCGTGCCTGAGCCATCTTGAAAGGTAGCTGTGCCTTTACATTGAACCAAGACTGACCATTGAGCGTGCAGTGATAGATGATTACCTGTGAGTAATTGTCTGTAGGAGTGAAAGAAGGTATCTATCATTGCACGCTCAATGGTCATCTCACTTTGATGCAAAGGCAAGGCCACCTTTTTAGATGGCACAGAGAACCATGATGAAGACTATTGAGGCAAAGCTTACAAATCAACCAATCAATGGGTATCCAAAAATTTCAGGAAACAACAAAATAATAACAGTTAAACAAAGGGGTCACAATGCAATGGCTTTTGATGTAACAAATGCTGTTTGCCATACTGGTCTCAAAGTATAGAACTTTAGATCATTATATCATAAGGTTGAGCATTACATGGTTTGTTCTCCCATGTGGGATAGCACATTCTACTGCTGAGCGGAGACKTTTCAGTGAATCAGGCAGCTGATTTGCATGAAGAGAAGTTTTGACAGCCATCATCCCACACCCAATGTCTACCCCCACGGCTGCAGGGATGATTGCATTAATTGTTGGAACTACACAACCAACGCAAGCACCTTTCCCAATGTGCACATCTGGCATGGCAGCGACATGCGAGTAAACAATTGGTAATTTTGCAATGGCCTGCAATTGTCCTTGTGCATCTTCTTCAACAGGGACATTACGGATCCATGCTTTGATAGGTACCTGGTCCTATTATTAAACAATAACAAAGCACTTGTAACTATTATGTATGGTCTAGAAGTAATGGAGATAACATTTTATCAACGATAATTCACTCGAGATCCATGCTCAAACATTGTTGATCGGTCAAMATCACTTTGTGAAATAAGTTAAGTTCTGACAAAAAAGTAACTTGCTGTATTAAGCTTACTTATATTAAAAGTCATAAGCATAGAACAAGTTTTAGACCGAATTTCCGTAATATTTTTGACCTTATTTTCCTTAGGAAGAGTGATGAACGATGATGAGCTTCTCAAGTGATTGCTTATGCGTTTCAAAGAAAGAAATTCACTACTTCTTGCAACAACTGAGATGCGAAGCATGATGCCTTGTTTTGAATGGATCAACTAGTCGATAGTTAGTCGATTAAAAACCAAAAAGGATCGATTAATCGTCGTATCGTAGCACAGGCAGCCCACTCGACACTAAATCGAAGTTTATTTACCGCCGCAATGAGCTGAAACGTCTCAGGGGTGTTGATCCAGTTTGAAATAATTTGGTTCAGATTTGCCACTGYTATTGAACTTTTCGTTTTCTCAACCGGTGCTTGGGCTACTATATACCTGTGAATGTAGTTGTCAGACAATTACTCTCAGACACAGGCAGCTCATCAAAGCATCAAAGAGTTTGCATGTGTTTAAAAATCACAATTCCATTCTATGTAAACATATAGCGGATTTCGTATGAGTGGGACACCGTTACCGCACAGTTACCGCACAGTTACCGGACCTGGCCTGCACAATTTTGGTGAACCAATGGGGCACTAGAATTTGGTTACAGTACGGTTACGGTCACAGTACAGTACCGTCTGTTTCCCACTCATACAAAATCCGCTCTAGTGACATCAACTCAGATTTGTCCTCATGCTACTACAGACTGGAAAGCATTTCCTATACCCACATATTTCTTTTTCAATGTTTTTACATATACTTGAGAAAAAAATGAGATTGTAAATTGAGGGTGAAATGTAAAATTGGGAAATAAAAYAAGATATAAGAAAGAGGAATTGAGAATAAAGAAAAAATTTGTGTACTAAACATGTATAAGAAAACACTTAGAGCATAATAGCTTGGCTTGAGCGCTCCCATGGTGTCTAATCATGATGAGAAAAAAACATCAAAAATGTTGTGATCAAAATAAAGAAACATGACTCCTCAAGTGCAGTTCAAAGCATAAGAGATATAGCTAGAGTGCTGTCATTAGATATTGTGACTCAAACACAAATTGACAGATTGATGCAATCTTTATTTTGTTTAATATATTATTATAGATGTTGCTATATATACTCTTTCATTCATTATTATCATTTTCTCCTGGTTTTTGTATAAGGTTTCCAACGTTYAGAAAATCAACTAACTTATTGATATCTTCTCCAGTTGACAAGTCAATCATGTCCTTTGGAAGACGACTACAGGCATATTGGCTAGGTTGAACACCTAGTTCAGATGTAATGACTCTAAAAACTGGAAAATCATCTTCCTGGAGTAAGCTGTCATCAATGAAAYCAGTCCAGGAAAACAGCAGTGGATTGGTCGGTGGGCCAAATGGGCTAAAATCCAGTARCATCACTTTTTGATCTGCATATCTGTAAACGTCAAAAACATAACWAGAATCTGGAAACAGGTCAGCAATTTTATCTTCATGAAATGTTAAGATATCAGTGATAATGTCATCTTGGTTTTCTTTGATGAAGGGATAGTAGCTTGAAATGTCTCTTTGACTTATCGCCRCAATTTCCTGGTTTTTCACAAAACAKCGAAACTCCATTCCAGGATAGATTTCCATCCACTTCCTTAGAACTAAGTCATACTGTACATCAGTGTKTTCTTGACTGTCCTCGCAGTGTTTGAAAGGATGTGATAACTGTTCTCCTATGATGTCTGAGCTCTTTAGCAGCAAATACATGTCATTAGCATTCTTACATTGAATTGTTCCATCATGGGTGATCCAAGATGCATCTTTTGGCGCACGCCAGTTGAGTTTTGGAAAAACTGTCCCACCTAGKTCATTCACCATTTCCTTTATTTTCGTTTCTACTTCGTTAAACTCGGGAGCTTCAGCTGTTTCTTGATCAGGATCTTCCTCCCTGCTTTGCCATTCTTCAGAATCACTTTCTTGATCTGTGTTGTAAGAAGAACACGGCTTCCCTGGAAGAACAATGCTATCTGCGTTTAGGTAGTCTATGAATTCTTTTGGTAAWGGAATAATTCGACTTTGCATTGTGACATTCTTGAATCGTGGATACCATGACGAGAAACTGCAGTTTAACACGTGCTGCTGTTTCATTTTCTCCGATGCAAAAACTATTGGTTTTCCGACGATTCTCGAAAGGAACACTCGCTATGAAAGAAGCAACGGGAATTTATCAGGAAGAAGACTCCTGATGAAAGGCAACCAAAAGAACAAGAGAATGTTTCAAACAAATRTGTTTCATGAAGCCGCCATTTTGGTGTATGTACGATGATGAAATACTTTGTTACCAACGTTTTTTAGTAGGGGTAGGGAGAGGTATATGAATTAGATAGACAACCGTTCATTATTTACAAATTTTCTTGGCATTCGACCTTTACAATCCTCATCTTCTCTAATATAAAAACCGATAAAATGTTTTAATTCTTTGATTGATTTTTTAAATAATAAATTTAATATGTGTATATTATTTGTGATGTACCCCCTCCCCGTAGAATATTTTACTGTTGGGCGTTACAAGGGCGTTACTAAAATTGCTAGTGCCAGTGTCCCTCGTCACAAAAGCAAATATACTCTAGTGCATTGTGGGTAGCGTATTGTTCTGTACGATGGCCCGGATAACAACAACATGGCGGCGACCATGAAATGGAAAAAAATCTCGAATTCTAGCGGCCCTGTCCCACGTCCACGGCATGGACACCGTGCGGTAGCCATTAGGGAGCTTATGGTTGTTTTTGGTGGTGGAAATGAAGGGATTGTGGACGAACTTCACGTGTATAACTCAGGTAAACATCTTAGCTTCGGCGGCAGGCAAGATGGCGGCGCCTTCTAACGTTTGGCGTTGGCGCCGAATTAGAGTGTTGTACATTTGACGACTGTGATTGTTTCTAATGGTGCAAAATTGGTTTTGTTTTATTTTTCGTTTACTTTTTGTGATGTTTCAGCTACAAATCAATGGTTTGTACCGGCTGTGAGAGGTGATATTCCGCCGGGATGCGCCGCGTATGGCTTTGTTTGCGATGGAACAAGACTCATTATATTCGGTGGAATGGTGGAGTATGGAAGGTATTCAAACGAGGTAGGCCTTTTTTCTCTCAATAAATTTTGTATTTCTAGGTAGCGTGAATTTTGTCTTTCTGTTTTTGATCGTTTCCTTTTTGAGCGGGCCACTTTCGCTTTCTTTCTTGTCACTAATACCGCAATTTCTTGTTCTTCCGGCCGACATTCTACTGATGAGAAATTACATTTGATTGTCTAACGTGTAACTTTTGACCCTTTCCTCAAGGACTCCATAATGAGAAATTTTAAAGTRTTAAGGGATATAATATTTTGTTGTTATTTTGCTGTATTTTTGTAGATTTGTGTAAACGTATTTACAATGTATWGTGGGTTATACGTTAAGCTTATAGATAAAATAAACACAAAGATCTAGCGGTGGTTTGTATTGGTTCTGAACATCGGGCTTTGATTATGAAATCGTTAYACCTTTCTAAATTTGCTCGGCTCTCAACAAAATGATGTGAATAAATTTATCAAAATTAATGATTGTTTTATTTAGTCCATTAAGTGTACTTTTTCGCTCTGATCTTTTGGTACTTTGTATCAAATATGCCTTTTTCCGCATTGCCGAAATTATGTTATTGTTTGCCGATTGTTTGCCTGATTTAAGGTCGAGTGATTTTATGCGAAGACCCATGAAATAATAACTCTTAAAGCTTATAAACAACAATTTATTGTTTCCTTTTGTGCTCACTTTAATACTATCACACAAACATGTGTACATTTAGTAAAACAATATTACTATTTCTTTCATAGATTTGCATAATATGTTATTGATTCTTTTCAATAATATTTAAATAATTAATTAGATATCGTCTCTGTGTGATTRCATTTCATTTTTCCAGGCAAACACATTCTTCTAAGCCATGAATTTTTACAATATCATTTTCGTTAATAATYAATTAATTGAAAAATAAATGAATTAAATATTCTTCTAGTGGTAATAATAAATGCATGTTTTGGTTTAAAAATAAAACTGTTTTGTCATCTTATGAATTTAATTTTCCTTATTTGATAGTCAGTTGCAAAAGAAACAAAAATTATAACAAATAGCATGATGACTTGATATAGATGGAAAATAATCATAACATTCTAGGCATAAAATAAAAAGAAATTTTGCATTGCAGCCATCAGCTTCAAGGTGCTTGTGGCTGTCATTCATAAATACGAGAGCTAATCATTTGATGACGTATTATGATATATAAATGTAGTACATGTACTTCATGGTACTCTACACCCACACAAAATATCTTCTCTTTAATGATCTTTATTATTCTTCAATAGCTGTATGAACTGCAAGCTAGTAGATGGGAATGGAAAAGATTAAAGCCAAAACACCCAAAAAACACTAACGCTTCTCCTCCTTGTGCAAGACTTGGTCATAGTTTCACATTAGTTGGTCACAAAGCGTATTTGTTTGCTGGCTTGGCAAATGACAGTGAAGATCCAAAAAATAATATACCCAGGTATGCATCTMYCTCYGGTCGTYAGATAAAYCTCAGGTTACCTAAACTTAATTTTCACAAATAAATTCATGTTTATATTTTCACTTGAGCATGCATTTYATGCTTGGWGTGTTTTAGAATTTTTCAGAAGTTTGTGTATAACATGTGCATCTAATTTTGGAAAATTATGAAAAGTATTTTTATTTATATTACATCATGACTTTTTTTCTTATAAACATTTTTTAATATTATTGATGTTACTCATTRATTATATTTTCATTTCATATTACTTGTTTCCCATTGCATAGTACATGTTACAGTTGAATTATTACAATGCTGTTTGTCAGTGCTAATAGAATAGCCTTGGTTTACATATACATCCATTGAGAACTCACTAAAGAATTTAAAAAATGAATCTAAAGTTGAAAGGTTAAACTCCTGCAGATTTACCACTTACCACATATATACAGATCTATTATAAAACATTTTCATCACAATTATAATTATTTTGATATTTRGTCCCTTTCTATATTGTCYCTCTTTTGTTYGGATTTCAGTAGGAATTTTTAAATATTACTGCAGATCTTGAAATAAAAACAACTCTAAAGAATACAATGGAATTTAATGTTGTAGCCATTACAGTAATTGGCTGTCACAGTCTGGTATTTTTAAATTTTGCAATGGATTTTTTCATTTGATTTCTTTAAATTATTATTCACAGATACCTCAACGATCTTTATGTTTTGGATGTGAAAAGTGGAAACTCACTACAGTGGGATTACCCACAGACATTTGGTACCCCTCCCTCCCCTAGAGAGTCTCATACTTGTGTTGCTTACACTCCATCTGATGGCAAACACTCAAGGCTTATAGTTTATGGAGGGATGAGTGGATGTAGACTGGGTGATCTCTATCAATTGGATATTGGTATGTTGARATGGTGTAATAATAACAGTAGAAGGTTTACCCTATATAAGATAACAAAACAATACGATAAAATTAAAATATATTAAAGAAAACAGGCAGTAATAACATACATGTTTAAACTCAAAATATCATAAGATTTGGAATATTTTCTGATTTTTTATATATATGTATTTTTCAATATTTTTCACCTTTGTTGCAAGTGGGTCAAACATAAAGGACCAGGCATATGGAAGTACCAAAGTAAAGATAATAATCACTGAAAACATTATTGATTGTAAAGGAATACATAGCATATAGCATAAAAAAACATGGTTGACCTGACCAGTCATTTCTCACCAATCAAATTGCTAATGAAACAACATAARTTCATAATTTAAATTATTTTTTATGTTTTAAATACATGGGAAATTTATAGCTGATTACATATTGCATTCTAAATATGTTKTGTGTTTTTTTAGATACAATGATGTGGTCCAAACCCAATTCTCGTGGCGCTGTACCTTTACCCAGAAGTCTTCATTCTGCTACTACAATAGGCAACAAGTAAGTTTTTTTGCACCTGCAAAACAAAACAAAAACAAAAGCAACAAAAAAACAAGGATTAAGTGCCACTGATTTTTTTTTTCAGGATGTTTGTATTTGGTGGATGGGTTCCCCTAGTAATGGATGAAGTCAAAGGTTTACAGCATGAGAAAGAGTGGAAATGCACCAATTCACTTGCGTGCTTGAATTTAGGTAAAAATCAATAAGGATTTATAGATATTATTCTCTGGCATGGAGACTATAACACATGTACTTCCTAAGCTCATAATATCCTTAAAATATCCTCCTATATCACTATAATTATTTATRATTAATAATTTATCTCTGTAGAAACAATGAATTGGGAAAATGTTGTTATGGATCAATTTGATGACAGTCTTCCTAGAGCTAGAGCTGGCCATTGTGCTGTCTCTGTGAGTATTTTATTTTTCATTGCATTAGACAGTAATAAAAATATTTGCAAAACAATTTTATGAGTGCAGTTAGTTAGCTGTTAAATGTAGTAGAATGTGCTAAAACCATGAAATAGTTTACTAGATGTTACATTAAATTGTACAATACATACTGATTTATGTGAACTTTTGTTTTGTAATCAACACTATTTAAAATTGTTTAGAACTATTTGGTTAGTGCTTTATCAAGTTTTTAGTGTTTTATCTGCAGTAAGAGCTATGACTTTTTAATGTATTTTTATACAGATCAACACAAGGATGTATGTATGGAGTGGAAGGGATGGTTACAGAAAAGCTTGGAATAATCAGGTTATCATTGATAATAGAGATTATTCTAATATGTATTAAATAGAGGATATACATGGTTGTGCAGAGAGTTTTGGATATCCCAATTGTTCTAATAGCTCATGAATTATTGATGAGTTTTAATGAAGTTTAGAAAAATTAATGTATTTTTAAAATATCTGTGTCAATTTGTTACTTAACTTTTTTCATAAACATGGATTTACTCTAACTTGAATTTTATTTCTGTTAGGTTTGCTGCAAGGATCTTTGGTTCCTTGAAACTGGTAAAAATCAAATGTTAATTCTCATAGATTGATTATCACAAGTTGTTTTATATTGATACTTACAGCCTTTTGCAAAAATTATGAGAATTGTCTAAATATCTAAATATCATAATATCCATATCCATATATTGTCCAGAACACGCGGGTGTGCTAGAATAATTCATTGTTGACATCGAGAAAATGTTCAGAACTACGGATAAGTCTGTCGCCAAAAAAAAAAAAACAACTAAACTACAAAGACAAGGGACTAAGGGCATTGCGCGGGATTACCCATCATRCACTCGATATTATGATATTTAGATATTTCGACAATTCTCATAATTTTTGCAAAAGGCTGTACATCTGTATACATGTAAATAACATTATTATGCATGTCTATATTAGCTAAGCCGCCAGCTCCAAGCCGAGTCCAACTAGTCCGTGCAAGTACAACCACACTTGAAGTTTGTTGGGGTTCTGTTGCTACAGGTATTCATATTTTTATGCTGTATAGTAGCTATTTTATGATCTGGTAACCTGTTCGCCGTTGCACTTTTATTCTTTTTTCATTAACTTCATCATTCATTTAGCTTTAGGCACTACAAAAAAAAAACGTTTATATTTAATAGATCAATATCCTACATGTATATTTATATTTCATTTATTATTTTATTTTATTATTAATAATTGTAATATTTGAAGTGTGCAAATGTTGTTGTTGATCATGTCTATCTCACTCAGAATACAATATACAATATTACATTGTAATCATACTGGTTTTCATTYTAGCGGATGCATATGTTCTTCAACTACAAAAGTACGAGATGCCTCCAAGTCCAGTGGTATCCCAAGCATCAGTTAAACAGCCTATAAAAATAGCCAGTCCACGTCCATCATTGAAACCTCCTTTATCATCACCAACTCCTAAGCTTCCTACACAGGYACCAGCAAAGACAACAGTTCCTAGCATGCCAGCACCAGGGCTTCCTTCCAAAATAACTGCCAGTCCTATTAGTACACCTCATTCTACAACCCATTCTACTACTCCACTTACCAATGTACCAGCACAACACAAGACAACAGCAGCTCAGCCAGCTTCAGGTATCATATCTTCTACAGTATCATCACCACTGAAAAGAGTAATCCAGACTACTATTGCAAACACAGCAAGCACTTCAACCCCTTCAAAACAGGCTGTAACGTCACAAGCAGTGCTGCAGGGACAAGCCGCTGGTATTACCACTCCCCAGGGTTTGACCTTAGTACGTACRCCTATGCAGCTCCCCCCTGGAATACATGCTACAATGATCACCAATGCTAAGGGTGTRCCTATGATGAAGCTTGAGGGACCAGGTCTACAAGGTACTAGTCCAGTTACCCTAATGACGTCCCAAGTTGGTACTGCTGCTCTTCAAGGGGCTACCATAGTAAGAATGGCTGCACCATCCACTACAACAGTGACAGCTTCTACTCTTAGTAATATTGTCAAAGTTTCAACACCAGTAGCCTCAACAACTACACCAAGTACAGCCATTAAGAAAATCCCTGCTCAAAGTCCAACAGCAAAAACTCCTACAACGACAGCTTCTCAGTCAGTAGTCAAACAGCCAGTGCCTGTCACTCTTCCTGCCAACATCCCTCCAGGTACACAGATCAAGGTTCTTAGTCCATCTGGACAACTGACACCATTAGGAGCTGGAGGGGTACCACTTCAACTTGCTTTACAAAATATCAGAGCTCAGTTACCCCCAGGAATGCAATTACAGCAAATCAAAGCTGGTGCCAATACCATTTTCCAGGCAGTACCTATTGCAGCAACCAAGACATCAACTACACCTCAATCTCCAGCTGCAAGTCCTGCGCAGTCTTCTGCATCAACTGGTGTTAGTAGTACCGTACCACAGCAAACCACAACACTGGCAAGCTTGGCAAAACCACAGGTTGGCAGTGTGACAAAGATACCAGGTGTCACATTAGTATCCCAGCTTGGTACACAACTCAAGGTTCTTCCTTCTTTGTCGTCCACACATGCCGCAACCATTGCAACTACAGCTTCTCTGACACAGGTTGCAAAGACAACACAGGCATTAGCTGCCACAGCAGTGAAGACTGTAACAACAGCAACTATGGTTGTAAAACAGATTATACCTACAGTTACAGCATCTCCGTCACAGGTTGCTTCATCAACAGCACTTCAAAAACCTGCAACAGTATCACTAGTGAAGCCCACAGTCATCCCTATTAATCTACCAACTGCAGTAACAGGCATTCCAAAAGTTGCCGTCATTCCTAGTTCCTGCACAACAACTACAGCATCATTGATTTCAACTCAAACATTGCTATCCAAAACTACAACTGCTTTAACTAGCGGTACAGTCCAACAAATAAGTAAACCAGTTCTCACTATCCCTAAAACTACCATAGCAAATGCACCAGGAATACCTGTAACACTTCCTTTGACAAGAGTAACCAAAGCTGTCACTACTCCTGTTGTTTCTGCTCTTACAACACCATTAGTTTCTTCGACCATTCCTTCTACAAAGCAAGCTGCCCCCAATGTCTCGTCAAGTTTAGCAACTACACAGAAAGCTCCATTGACTTCTGTTGTCCAGCAAAAAGCTGGTGCACCTTCGTCTTCCCTTCTTCCAACCACAGTTGCTGCTAGTTTAGCTTCAACTTCAAAAACTGCATTGACTGTGAATGGTAATGCTCCCACAGGTCAAGCAGGAACTAAATTAAGTGCAATGCAGCAAAAGGTAAGATTACAGTGTTCACAATAGCATTATAACTTCTAAGTACTGTTGTCAATAAGATTTCTAATTTGATTCAATGTTACTGGAGCATAGCAAACATCCAGGTAATGAAGAGGCACATACTTCTAACAAACTAAGTAGGGTTTTCACCAGATGATTGAAGGGACTGCATTGTTACATTTTCTTACTAGAATCCCAAGCAAAACAAGATAGTGACTGTAAGAAAGACACAGCAACAAAGTGTATGGTATGATGTGGGTATTGTCAAGGGAACTACCATGATGGTTACTCACTATCACCTTACCTCAGATGGCACAATCAAAGAGGTATGATTATACAACAACATCTAACAATACAATAGAGAATTCAAATTTTATGAAAAGATAATCCAAATCCAAGCTTTATAAAAAACTAAGATGGAAAACTTATCAAAGATTCAGTCCATAGTAAAGAAAGAAGTAAACTTGTACCTAGTCCCAGCCTTTCACACATGACATACAATCAAATCTTTAATTTCTATTGCTCTTTAGTCATCTGAGATTGACGTAGTTGGTACAGAACATAGTTCTCCAAAGAAACAGGAACTGCAGCCTGGAACAGCTTATAAATTCAGAGTTGCTGCTATTAATACATGTGGAAGAGGACCCTTTAGTGATGTGTCTGCTTTCAAAACTTGTCTGCCAGGTTTGTATGAATCTTGTTTTGGTTTGTGCATTTAGATACTGTAATGGTCTCTGGATATTGGGTGGCAGTGCCTCTGTATCTCTGAGAGGAACTACTGTATTAAAGTCTCTATGATCCTTTGTGCAGTTTCCTTACATTTCCTTAAATCTCCATCTTGATTTTGAACCAATGAGAAAGCAACTTTCACTGACAGGTCATTTTTTAAAACACAGCAAAAGATTGCAGAGGTTCTTGGACCAATTTGGGTCTTTGAAATGTTCACTTATGAGTGACACAATGTTCATACATGTAATGAAATTTTTATGATTTCAGGTTTTCCTGGAGCACCATCAGCCATTAAAATTAGCAAGGTAAACAAAGTCTTATATTGACAATGAGAAAAAAAAACTAACTTAAAGTATGTGGGATAGACTCAGTGTCCAAAATCAGAGAAGAATATGAAGAAGGCATGTAGTCATCAAAACTGCATGGATAGTTTTCTTCAGTCAGATTGCAAAACTTTTTGATTCAATGTATTTTGATTGTCTAAAGTACTGTAGCAATGTATTTGATTCTGTAATATTAACAATATAGATATWTTGTGCATGCTCTTTGSCTTATTTCAAGATGCTATGATAATRCTACAACTACCAGAATACTTTGCCACCTTCATGATACAATACATGTAGTAATCCCTAATAAATTGTTTTAATATGTTTTTTTTAGAATGGCGATGGAGCTCATCTATCCTGGGAGGCACCATCCAATGCATCTGGTAATGTAACTGAGTACTCTGTATATCTAGCAATCCGTAGCCAAGCATCTGGTCAAGACATCAAAGAAATGAGTGGTGTAAACACTCCTAGTAATCCAGTACAACTGGCCTTTGTGAGGGTTTATTGTGGYGCACAACCCACATGTACTGTATCCATGGCAACATTGACAAGTGCACACATTGACTTCTCTACCAAACCAGCAATCATTTTTAGAATTGCTGCCAAAAATGACAAAGGGTAAGCTTTTGCAGTTTGTAATTTATTAATGAAGAAAATTTTTATATAATGCTGGCTCAACCCTATTCCCAACCCTAAACCTAACCCTRAACCTGAACCAAAACCTAACCCTAAACCTAAMCCTAACCCTAAACTGATTTGTACTGGATTGAGTTATATTGGACTGGCTCAAAATAAACTGAACCAGTTCAGAAAAAAATTGAACTGACTTCAAAATCATATTGAACCTGAACTACAACATATACATGGTACAATTCCAATTAAATATTGATGCYTGCAACCGTGTTATTCATCAAATTCTAAATCGTACATGCGTTCAGTATATTGGTGGGCCTCTTCTCAAATAGCCTTATGCATTCCAGTGTGGTCTACATTTGGTACAATCATCTTTATCTCATTCAGTCAGATATGGTCTYGTCTGTACTGAAGCTAAACTACAATCTGCCATATTTTTTTATTATTCTAGCTAGCATTGTTCTTCTATCAAAAGAGCTGTAAAAATGAAGATTGTATTTTTTTTTCAGATATGGTCCTGCTACACAAGTGAGATGGTTACAAGGTAAGACTACATAGTGATAATAATAATTACTGTATTGTTACTGTATTGAGGACCAGCTTTGTTGACCACCATGATCTTCTTTGACAGATCCAAGAGATTTAAAAGATGGACAGTTAATCGTAAAACAAGCTATAAAGAGAGCTGCTTCAGAAAAGTATGTGTTTTTTTAATATTTTGAGTAAAAATTGAGAGATCATGGAAGGTGTGTTGGCGTTATGACCATGATTCTGATCAATGAATACATGTACCTTTTTTTATTGTAGATGACACCTTTTTGAAAGAAATTGTTTTCAGTATTYGAATTTATTATTTACTAGGTCTTCTGAGTCTGCTCCTAAAAAAGTCAAAAAAGAAAAGGACAAAGCTAAAAAAGAGAAAGAAGCTGAAAAAGACAAAGAGGACAAAAAAGTGAACAATTTAGAAAATGTGAAACCCAAAGAYRCTGAGCAGAAGAAAGAAACACCAAGTGAAGCACCTTCAGAAAGAACAGAAGCAGCTGTMAAGACAGAACCCAATGAAAAAACAGATTCATAATGAAGAGATCTAATCTACTAACAGCATCRTGTATGCTTCTTCGGGAACTTGCATATAAGTACTGCARCATTACTTGTCTGCCAGAAATTATTGAAGGTCATGACTACTAGAACACTCCATGTACATTGTATTTGGTTTGAGTTGTCTTTTTTTCTATTCTTTCTATTCAAGCATTCCTTAATGTCATTGCATGTTGTTGTGCAACACAAGTGTTGCTTTTTGTATGGTAAAATGGAATGTTGTTTTTTTGTTGTTGTTGTTTCTAAATTATTACATTCTTTTTAAGTTTCATTGCGCTCTGAAAATGTTGCTTTGAAAGACCACATGTTCTCTGGTGTCAGTAGCAAAGCTAGTAGCCTGAATCCAGTGGTTGAAAGATTTCAATGCCAATTCTGTATTTTTTTTACAGTGTAAAAGCATCTAGAGCTATAGTACCATATGATGCATTTTAGATGTTTCAGTTGAACAACACCATGAATGACATAGGGATGTTTGAAATAGAATGGAATCATTGTTACTTGATCTTCGTACAATTTTATTGGATTAGAACTTTGTTAAATTATTRCTTTTGATGAATATTTGGCAAGATGTCAAAAAATAACCATCATGTATCGAGGGTTCATGTTACAATGATTCTATTTCATTTTTAAGTGTAAGTTTCTGTATCAGAAATATGTTACTACCAGTTTACCCAAACGTATCAGAGTATTTTTTATATTATCAAAGAYGCTATGAAGTGTGTCCAGGTTGTAGCCACACTGCTGTAGAAAGGCTGAACTTGCTAAGTTATAATTAATGTACATTTGCATGATCTAAAGTCATTATGTTATGTAACCCTCTCAGTCAGATGTAATGATGCTGTTCAATTTCAAAAACCTATTTTGTTTAGGCTGATAGAAAGGAAAWAGCATCGATTGACATTCAAAAACAGTGACAATGAAAAGTTGAAGAGTAGACAGTAATRTCCCTTTTTAGACTACTCACATGGCAGCATGAATAATGGAAGAAACGTTTTTATTTTTTACACAAAGTCCTCAAATCAAGGCAGTGTTTCTTCTCCTTGTGGCGGTGTTTTGTGTGTCTCCTTCTCATTACTTAGAAATTGAGCAGGAAGTTGCCAGTYATAGTGCAAGTTTTTAATACAGTAATATTTATAGTAAATGTATGTAAGAGCATTAAACATAACTGACAAAAACTACAAGTTTTCTTTCCATTGATGTCAGAAAATTCATAACTATAATTATACTAACCTAAAGTAACTGTAAAGGARAAGTTAATGTTAACATACAAATGGGACTAGTCAATCAAGACAGTAGTGGGTAGCATCAAAGGTCAGTTAGCAAGAATTATTGTGTAATAGTCTTCTTCATGGTTCAGTGTACCATCTTGAAAGGTAGCYGTGCCTTTCAAGATGGCCCAAGGAACTGTGAAGAAGACTATTGAAATGGAATATGCTTTTTTCAACACCATGAAGAAAATGCTTTTCATTGATCTTCCTGTCTTCCATCTTGAAATATCAGAAGTAAGACTTAGAAGTGATTTTTCATCATCTGTGAAAAAAAAAACACTGATTGTCTATCAGTGATAAATATAAGTTTCAAGTCCACTATTATTTTAATGTAAACTCAGCCATTATTTCACAGAGAAGATGGAAAATCACAATAATATTAGTAAGAAGACAAAATAACTTGTTTTGAGTTTGGACTACACTATTTTTTATGAAAGACCTAACTATTATCTTAGTGTCAGTTTATAAAATAGTATGATGGAGTCATGAGAACATAAGTAATGTGCTTAGCAAATACCCATCTGAATGTATTTAAAGACATTACTATAATACTAGGACAGTGGCTTACAGATAAAATCCTGTAATAGCCTCGGATGCTGGTACTACATGTAGTTTCCAATAGATGTTGATTTATGGGACAAGATGGAGTGACATTGCATTAAACCAGAATGTATGGATCTAATAAACCAGGCTAATACTTGTATATTACCATTAAAGATGGATTATTATCAATGTGTTTTTTTCTTTTATTCAGTACGTCCCTTGTGTACTCTAGGGTGCTTACTTACTATATAGGATGCAATGAATAGTACTAGTGAAACCAGAGTTATAATATAATAATAAGGCTGCTCGATGGAACTGGCTGAAACGTTTCGGCTGAAACTGTACCTTTACTAGTATAAAGTCTTGTTAACAGAAGCAATCAGCCTTTTCTGAGAATGCAGTTGCATTGCATTGTGGTCTAGATTGGGTACTAACATCTTTTGGTCATGTTGCCAAATATGGCATTTGTACTGAAGCTATAATTGTAAACCACAATACACCATGATTTTGTATTTTAGAAAAGATCTATGGTGCACATAAGGCAAGTGCAAGAATTGGAATTTTTTTAAAAATTATCTGAACTGATGCTGTAATTTGCATTTCTTATTTGCATAACTAATTGTGTCAACCAGACATTGGGATCTATTTCTGTTAGTTGCCATTTTCAACCCCAAATAATAGGGATGCTAAATCCTGGTAATTCCCTGGTATTGACTGCAGGCTTGGGGCATTGGTTTCAATTGACTGATGCGTTTTTAGAACCAATTTTCTTCTTGTGCTTTTCGTTTAAACCTTTGAATTTTTTGTTGTCAAGTCCCAGACTTTCAAAGTATCGAAATACAAAATGAATCTGCCCAATGTCACAAACTTTCGACCAAAAATGACCACTAAATCTATGAAAAAGTGAAAACCGGCCCAAAAAATGATCTCCAAGTTTGAGAAAAACRAATCCTGTACAACATATTATCGCCAACCAAAAATAATTCAATGACATCTTGTTCCCTAGTTTGGTTTGTGTGCGGATGGTATACGCGATTACAGCTAGGATGTGAATTCCAAGGGCAGTCTCAAAGCCACGGTCATGCAGAAGCACCAAGAGGTAGCTTATCAAAGACGTACGCATGTAAAATGTAAACCTTCTGGATTGCCAAAGCGAATTACAATAGACAAACTCGTTCCAACAAACAGTCCATGCAAAGAATGGTAGAGTGACCCATTGGTCMATGATGGCCCATAACCGCGTTTGTGTTACAATTCGACAAAACTGTACTGCCCCGTAGAATACTGCCATCCATCCAAATATGAAGTAAAACATAACTTCTTCTCCGAGCTTCTTTTGACGCGTTCTAGTCCGTCCAATCCAATAAAKGCCGACAATGGAATAGCCAATGTTGACAAGCGCATTTGCGGGCATTTTGAGGAAAGAGTTTGGTTCTCCTTTTTCTGCATAATGAYCTAGGCCTAKTTCTACCTTGGCACGGTCTAATAGTTTGAGCCACGTTACGAAAAACGTCAGTAGCAAWGGAATAAGGACGTAGRCAAAAGATTTGACAATCATTTTCTTTTATAAACACAGAACGACCATGTTTGAAGCCGCAGTCAAGTTGATCTGCGGTAGACTATGCTATTAATTAGCATGCGTRATCGATAGTGCGCCTGTTATGCTTATCGYCGGCGGAGTTACCCAATCAATTGCGAAAGTTTGTCCACAAGGATTCCAARRRTTTACGTTTTTAGCAATTATAATAWCKCTAAAATGAATACTTTAATGCAGCGAGGCTTTAAAGTAAATATTTTACTAAGAGAGGTAAGAAAATAAATCTTGACATTGCTTATTTTGTTGTATAATTATCTCTCAGGTACCTCATTTTCCAGGTGACCATTTGAAGTGATGTTGTTTCAAAAATTAAGTTACAGTTAGGTTATTAAAAGCTTAATAAGACTTGTGTGCAATACAAAGACAATATAAACTTTTATTGTTTTAAACAGAGCCTTAGATTATGTAGAACAAGACTCATTCCCTCGTCTGGGTTACTGACTTCTCGGCATTTTGCTACAGACGGTAAGATTGCAAGCTTAAAAAAGCTAAATGCATGTCCATGTGTGCATATATAAGTTACACCTAATTATTAAGYAACGAGTTTCATAAATAATCTTTTGTAGAGAGATTCATTTCACRGAATACTCAAACAATTGATCATATGAGAGGGGATGGAAGGCAGAAGATATACAATGTTACTGTAACGTACATAGCAGCCAAAACAAAGTATGCTGCTTTTGTGAATTACGTAATCCATGTTCTGATCAGAGTGATAACAGAGCATGGATTACGTTAGCTTATTCAATGGAACAGAATCTAAACAATGCCACAAAATACAAAGAAACTTAACCATAAATTTCAGTACTCACATAAAGCCCCAGACTGCTTTGTCGACACAGTGTCAACACTACTTGAAACATAAAGTGGAGTGAAGAATGTAGTGCAGTTCAATGCCCCAAACTATTCAAATTGATTTGCATAATTTTAATACCATATTTGATCATCAAAGTTCTGATTCGAAATAGCCATCAAAACTACAAATTAAAGATGTGCTATTATTTTTGAGGGTTTTTTATTTCTCCATTATATGCATAATAAGGTGTTAGATTTAATTGAGGAAAAGTTATCAACAGACAAGTCCAATATTTCTGAGYATGGAACTTAATAAATGTATTACTATTCCATGTTTCAATCCCCTTATGAGTTTCTGCTACTGTAAAATACTTTATAGATTTTTATGGCCATTAATATTAACACATGTTTTCAACTAGGCTAATTAATACACTATATATTTATAGCAGAATTCAGAGACTTTTATGACATTTTGTAAAAGTGTGTATGAAATATACTGCTGTTTGCACTGCTTAAACAAGAAAATGCAATGATGCATTTAATTAACAATAATATAATGAAATCTTGTTTGTCAGGTGATGCCGATTTAGTTGTTATAGGATCTGGTCCAGGAGGATATGTTGCTGCTATCAAAGCTGCTCAGTTAGGAATGAAGGTGCATATAGCAAGCTATTTTCATTCAATTTCTTGAGCTTCGTTGTAAGGGTTGGGCTGCCTGTGGTATAACGATAAGTTCTACAATTATGCATCTCTATATTTTTCAGACTATTTGTGTTGAAAAAAATCCAACYCTTGGAGGGACATGTTTGAATGTTGGCTGCATACCTTCAAAGGTTAGTAATAATAGTAATAAATTAATATTGACTTAGGTCAGCAGCTTTGTTTTCTCATGATATTTGGCCGTGAATATTGTTTGTTTTTCTGACRTCATCATGGATCTAAAATTTAATGATAAATATACAAAGGAGTCAAGATTGCTGAGAATTGTGTGTTAATGAATCAATCAAAGAATGAAATAAAATGAAAAAATTAAATAATGRGATATTGAAATTGTGTTCTTTTGATTTCCCTTTTGATAGGCTCTCTTAAACAACTCCCATTTCTACCACCAAGCTGTGACWGATGACTTCAAGAACAGAGGAATCGATGGTATTTCAATCTTGATTAATCAAATGGAATAGACCTTTTCTAAAACATAGAGCATTGCATTGTGGTCTAAAATCTTTGTACTAAACACAGGTCACAATGCACCATGATTTTGTATTTCATAAACAGTCTTTGATGAATTCTTTCACAAATTCATTCCCTCCAGGAACAGGAAGCCTGACATGAATTAGCCTGCGTTACATCCGGTTTTTGGCAAAATAAAACTGGATGTAATGCAGGGTAGACATGAATACTGATGGGAAGGAGACTAAAATTCGTTGTGACAAACACTAATCTTCATTTGTGGTTCTTACAGTTTCAGGAATTTCACTCAATCTAAAGCAAATGATGTCTCAGAAAGATACAGCAGTTAAGACTCTAACAAATGGGATAGCGCATCTTTTCAAGCAAAACAAGGTGCAAAATTGAAAAAGGATCAGAAGCTTTAGAAGTAGCTTTGTGTTACATTCAAGTTGTAATAAGATAGAGCATTATTAGTGGTATATTTGTCACGCCATATAAGTAGTAAATGGTCCAGATTGGAACAGATTTTCAGAAAGTCATTGCTGGTCAACCATCACATTTTGTCATGGTAGACATTTGCTTTCCTTCTTTTGTTTTGAAGACACCTTTTTGATGAGATATAGAATTGGTACAATATTGTCCAACCATACGCAAGTAACTGAACAACATACATGTATTACATACCATGTACAAGATCAATGATACAATAGATATGTCTTTCACCAGGTTACTCAAGTACAAGGCAGAGGTACAATAACAGGGCCCAATGAGGTTTGTTAACTTTGAATTAGAAATTCAAATATTCCAGTATTTTTCAAAGTATAAATTTTCTTTTGTTTTGAGAATATGATACAAGTCTGTAAATATAACAAAAAAATCAATTGTGTTCAGTATACTGTGGCCCTCTTTTGAAAGAGGAGTGTAGCCAAAAGATTTTATATTGACTATGCATAGTTAAATTATGATGATGATGATGATGATGATGATGACGATGATGATGATGATGATGATGATGATGATAGTGATGATGATGATGATGATGATGATGATGTTAACATGGCAAATCAGCTTGCAAACGTACTGTATCACTGACAGGAGCTTGAAATAGCCTTAATTTTTGATGGTTCATCTCTGCAAGTCTACAAACAGTTAGTCTCCTTTGCAGACTCCCCTTTTGTCGGGCTTCCTGAAACAGAGAAGACTAACAAACAGTAGTCTCAGGGGAAAATCTGAAGATGACTTGAAGACAAAAAAATGTTTTTGTTTCCACTTGAAGAAGCAACACATCAGTTTTTTTCAGTTCTTACTTGATGTCATAGTCTGTCTTGATTGCAAGATCATGTCCATGTCCATGTATTCAGATTAAATCTCTTACGTTGCCATTTGTGCAATTGTTTTTGGAAGGTCACTGTTCACAAAGATGATAACTCAACGGAAGTCATMTCAACAAAGAATATTTTGATAGCAACTGGTTCTGAAGTTACCCCCTTTCCTGGAATTGAAGTGAGTAGAAAATTAATTATTTTCAAATTCCTTRACTGGTTTGCACACATTGTTACAATGTTACACTGCCTTAAGGTAAGATTTTCTAATTGGATATTTTTTGACATGTCAGATTGATGAGAAACACATCATATCTTCTACTGGTGCCTTGTCTCTACAACAAGTTCCTAAAAATCTTGTCTTGATTGGTGCTGGGGTAATTGGTGTAGAATTGGTAAGTATAATTGGTTAGTTAATTTGTATATCGAAAGAAATTTGATGTCAGTGAAGTTCTAGTAATGTTGATGATACTTTTAACAAAGTTCATTATCAATATGCTTGTTCAGACGCACAATATGTGCACATATCTTATACATGTATCTCTCCAAGAGCAAAATTAAAAGCAATAAAATAGTTGTCTTATGAAAAGGTCTTCATGTTTTACTTTATTTATTTGATGCCATTATAAATGTTACTTTTGTACATGTACATAATTTAAATATTTATGCTTCAATTCTACGTTTTATTATTTAGGGTTCAGTTTGGTCAAGACTTGGAGCCAATGTTACAGCTGTTGAGTTTCTGGGACATGTTGGAGGCATTGGCATTGATATGGAGATTTCGTAAGCATCTTATTTGTCTTATATATTTTTTCTACTTTGACAAAGAAGCCTTATTTATTATGTCAGACTTAGTTACTGCAAAATAAGCAGGTAAATACTGCACAGCAAGGTTCTAAGATTTTTCACTCTCGTTTTGTTAAAACATTTCCTTTGTAACTCCYTTGTGACTTTAGTTTTGTTTATTTATCTTCCTTCACTTTATTCTTCTCTCCTTTGTTTTTTAAATTGATTTTCTCTCTTTTAAAAATCTCCTTCATATTATTTGTTTTTGTGTTATTATGTATAACTTATACTAGTCTTGTACAATGTGTACCTTTATAGAAAGAACTTCCAGAGGATTCTTAAGAAGCAAGGGATTAAGTTCAAGCTTAACAGCAAAGTAACAGGTATGTCACACWCAAAATGATTATTATGTCCTTTAGTAAAACCTTTTTTGTTAAAATTGTTAACATTTCAAAATGACAAAATATTATTGTATGATATTCTTCTAGGAGCAAGAAGAACTGAAGATGGGGTTATTGTAAAGTAGGTTCTATAAAACATAGCACAACTTATTAAAGCTGAGTCTGTTTTGTTTGTATTTTGTTTTGTGTTATTGTTGGGCCTCCTSAGTTTTTTCAACACAGGAAGCCTAACAGTAAYGAAGCGAGGTGATTTTGTGATTGTGCAGTGCTGGAATATATGAAATATAWATCTGTAAAACTGTCATTGCTCTACAGTGTYGAGTCAGCTAAGGATGGKTCCAAAAAAGAAGAGGTGTGTTGAAACTATTTTGTGTCAATATGTTCTTGTATTCAAGTGATTAAACTCTCTCMTAAATGACACTTTGTATTTGTTCAGTTGGAGTGTGATGTTTTGTTGGTCTGCATTGGACGAAGACCTTACACTACAAGGCTTGGTTTAGAGGTAATTTAAAACAACTCTCTTCTACTAGTATTTCCCTCTTATTCACCCATCCTTCCTTCTTTCCATCCATAAAGTCAGTTGAGTATTTATTTCTTCCATTCATTTGCCACTCAGTATATCTATTCATCCATTTCCTCTATTTATCCATCCATTAATTTATTTACTTGGTAATTTATTTAGGCATTCTTCATATCAGAAGTATATTTACACATGTTTTGTTTTGTTTTGTTTTGTTTTTTTTTTCATTCAAGAAAATCGGTGTGCCTATAGACTCTAGAGGGCGTGTCCAAGTCAATGAGCGTTTTCAGACAGTCGTCCCAAGGTCAGTTATTATATATATATAATGTAGCGCGATCAGATCAATTGAAACTCCAAATACCAGGGAATGTTCAAATGTTGTTTTTGCTGGCTCAATTTACTGTTTACATGTTGGTGTCTCTCTACCTTTTCCTCGGAGAGGTTTAATCCACTTCTGTTTTGTGTCAAACTCACACTCATAATAAATATGTTTAGAATTACTATTGAATGTATACATTGTTATTACAGTGTCTATGCTATTGGAGACTGTATAGATGGACCCATGTTGGCTCATAAAGCAGAAGATGAAGGTACAATTACAATATTAAACGATAGTTGGCAAAGAATTTAAAAAGCTTATGTTTCAATTATCCCTCGCGGATCGCGGCTACACGAGCGACTTTTCGCTTGCGCAGGCGACGTGATTTTCTCAAAATCCTCAGGCGCACGATGTGGCTACACGAGCGACAATGCTATATCGATAAAAAAAGCCGTGTTTACATTATGTATAAGTGCTGAGTGTAATGTTGCTTTAATGTAGGTATAATATGTGTTGAGGGAATGAATGGCGGTGCTGTACACATTGACTACAACTGTGTTCCTAATGTCATCTACACCCATCCTGTAAGTATTTTGTTATTGTCACTCGTCCCACTTCCTTCCATTCCTATWTTATTGCTTTTATATTTTGCATTTTTGTGCATGTTTTAAAGGGACATGTTCCACCAGCATTCATTTCGGTCACGTTTTAGATTTTTTACATATGGAAAAAGAGGTGACTTCGAATATCCATTCGCAATTCGTTTCCATCCATCGGTTTAAAGGTCGAATCTTACAGTATCACCATTCATATAGTATAAAGGGATAATAAAGAGTAAGGTTTTGCTTATATTACGATGTATTTTTATTTTCAAACACGAGCAAAAGCTTGAAAGGGATGCTGGTGGACCATGTCCCTTTAAGGTCATAGTCAACCGCCATTCAATGCGGTCGTGTTTTAGATTTTTCTTATATGAAAAGTGACGTGATTCCCGATAACTGCCTGTTTTACGTCATGGCTACAAAGGGAACCCATTTTTTCTTTGTTCGTCCCACCTGTTCTTTACGTTTGCTCTTCTGTTCTCAATGATCGCATGTCATTTTTTCTCAGGAAGTGGCTTGGGTTGGAAAATCTGAAGAATTACTGAAAGAGGAGGTGTGTAAATTACAAGCTGCTAACTCATCTCTAATTATGCTTAGTCTTGAAATAATGAATGGGTTTCTGAGTTAACTCTCGTAAAAGACTATGCAACTATGCGACTATGTTCTGATAAAGGTGGTCGCTTACTGGGCAGTCAACTGAAATACGCCACATAAGAAATTACAGAGGTTGCAATCCCTTGATGTACACACTATAACACTGATTTCTCAATTGTKCTGCCAGGGTGTAGCTTACAAGGTTGGCAAGTTCCCTCTGTCAGCAAATAGTCGAGCAAGAACCAATGCAGATATCGATGGATTGATTAAGGTGGTGGCTGACAAGGAGACAGACAGGTTACTTGGTGTCCATATGATTGCACCAGCGGCTGGTGAAATGATCAATGAAGCAGCACTCGCCATGGAATATGGCGCATCGTGTGAAGATATTGCAAGAGTCTGTCATGCTCACCCGGTAAATGGATTCTTTTGATTTATTTGTGCATCTTGTTTTTCTTGAATTTCTGATCTTGAACCGAAATATCTCAACTCGTGACAGGAAAATGACATAAGGCAATAAGACAGACATGTGGGCTTGCTGTGTGGCAATAATTTGTTCTTGACGATGGTGATGATGATGATGATGATGATGGTGATGGTGGTGGTGGTGATGATGATGTTGATGATGATGTTTTTGTTTTTGTGTTATGAGCAAGATTTTATAGTGCATTTGTATGTCCTCTAAAACACTCCTCAAAAGTCCCTTCTACAAAAAGGGATATAAAAAGTGCGAAGACTACAACTCCCATCTTCCGTCGTTTCACAAAATGTCGTCGCTGCACAGTGCGTATTCTAATCATTCCTTGTTTTCTTTGCAGACCGTGTCAGAAGCACTCCGAGAAGCCAGCATTTCAGCATATGCTGGAAAAGCCATCAACTTTTAGACTCATAATTTACAAGGGTGTTTCCAGCCTTCGAAGGAGCTTTTTATAGTGCTACAGAGAGCAAAATGACAGCATATATACCCTTGGCACCATAGAGTCTATTGTCTCGGGAATAGGTGTTTTAAATAATTATGTTGGGATTCCTTTGCCTCGTTGATAAGATGTGTACAGAGACTGATGAAATGTTTATAAATGATTAACAATTTAGACGTTTGAAGTTGTTTACAGAAAGCGGCACATGTTAGATGCAAAATTATGACGTCAATATTTTGTCATTGTAATCATCACACATTTATTCATCGCAGCTCAAACCTTTAGAGCGCATTTCGTTTGACTGTGCAAAAATCACGGTACTTTCGCGCTGTGACCGTACCGTGCCGTAGCGGTGATGTATTGTTAAATCTTTAATTTTCAGTATGAGGAATCCTAGAAGGTGAGGTTCCGTGCCGTGCCGTGCCGTGTCCGTGTTGTGATCCGTGCCGTTGCACAGTCATACGAAATCCGCTCTACTTCATTTACATGTGTTCACCGTATGAATGGGTTCACCCAATAAAATGACCGCTCATAGTTCACCTTGTAGCTCAGTTGGTAGAGCACTGAACCGGCGTCGCAGAGGTCATGGGTTCGATTCCCGTTGAAGCCCGAAATGTTTTCGGGCGATCCATGCATTCATTAATAATCGTCTAGATTATTATTATTTCACTGCGAYGATTACGTTCATTACACAACTATTTTTTAAAAAAATCGAAACAGCTAATATCAATCTAACGAGATAAAATATACGTCGTAGAGACCCCCGATGGATCGAATAAACACATCTCTCAAGAAGCTACGTGCACAGCAGTCTACCTGTTGGATGCATGGTGACGTCTAACACTTTTGTTCAGTATGATACAAAGGGATCCCGAACTTCTGAAACTCTACATGCAAGTATTCTATTATTCGGCGACCTGATAAAAGTGTTTTGTTTTTTTTTGTTGTTCTTTTTTTTTTGTATGTTAAAACATACAAAATGGCGACTAGATAAAGTTCATGCATTTAAAACGTGAAATCGTTAAAAGCTAAAATAATATATATATAGAAAGTTCACTGACTAAATCCTAAAATATTTACAATGACTTGATATGCTACATGCAATAGTTAGAGCACACGAGTTCTAACATGCCAGACCTCTTGGTCTTCAAAGTAGACCATTGTACGATATCCCCCTCGCTTGTTGGACATGTCGAAGCAAGGACCGAAACTTCTCCTGCAGGGAACGCTCTACTCCACATATTTACGCTGGCTAGATTTCCTTTAAAAGCTACCGAATCTCGAAAACCCGTCTTAAAGCCTTTTTGATCCTGGCCAAGCACAATCGACCCTTTACCAAGCTGTTCGTCTTTCTTCCCGATAAATTCGTGGCGTAGYACGGCATCGATGTAAAATTTGATGTTTCCATCTGTGTTTTCCCAAGTAAGACACAAATGATGCCACTTGTTGTCAACAAGGTTGACGCCATAAAGAATCCTAAAAATACAATAGTCTGTGTATCTAAGGGATTCGATCATTCAGTGAWATTTATGCTAGTCAATTGAAACCCCCGACCCCCGGGGCTAGCGGGGAACTGAACGGGGACGTAACGCGTGTTTAACGTGCTTTTAACAGCAAGATTGCCCCGGGGGTAGGGATTTTGATGAATTGTTTTCGAAGCGGGGCAAAGAGCGGGGATTTTAACGCGCGCTTGAACATGTATGAGGCTGGCAACTTCCTTTGCATGCAAGTTTTTAAAAGAAACTTATTACACATGCCGTACACAGGATTGTGCAAAAATTAACACTGTATCACAGAAAATTTGTTTGAAAGGTCTTTGTTTTGTTATTTACTACTACCAAAATAGCGGGRCARCAGTAGCGGGGATTTTAACAATAAATGTGCCCCGGCTACCGGGGGAAATGACTAATTTTAACACCACTCAAACGTTAAATTCCCCGGTATTCTCCGGGGGGGGGGGTTTCAATTGACTAGTGCATTATGAGGCGAGGGGTGATCAAATGAGTGTTCGATTCTTTTCCAACACGAACTCAGTCATCTAGAACGGGCGGATCACACGATACCCGACCATTTAAATAAACCTACTCATGGCAGCATGTGATAACGGTAATGCATATATATTAGTTGGAAAATATAATGTTTGGCATTCATTTTAGTTCAGTAAGTTTTCAAGAACTTACTTAGCTTGCGTAGCCAGGCTACAACTTACTTGTTGGCACCGATAACATTGACACCAACGTAGGAATCAGTGACATAAATGGACACTGCATTGTCGTCGGTTGTCGTACCATATTCGAACACAGCATTAGATGTACTCGTTGCGTCAACTTGAACCCAAAATGAAAGCGTGAAGGCGCTGACTGAAACAAATGGATCATCTAGAATAGCATAGTCTTGAGCAGATTTCCTTGAGAAACTTAGAACTTGTTCGGCCTTGGCCTCTTTAAATAAATAAGGAAAAAGATAGTGAAAAACGTGTCTAACAAGTTTGCATTAAAATTTATCGATGAATTTAGACACCAGAAACTTTACTGAATCTGCTGTTGTTGCTGTGTGTTGTCAGTTTTTTTATTTGTTTTGTTGTTTTGTTGTTTTTTGCTGTTGTTGGTCTTGTTCGTTAATATCTGAGTATTTTCATGTTTCCCGTATAATAGATTGTCAAAAAAATAGTGCCATGATGACTTACCTTGACAAGTAACACATTTATAGCTCTCACCCTCCGGCACGCATGCTAAAGGATAGCTGCATAACTTACGACTGCATCTCTTGGGAGGTCTTGTAGGGACGTTAACGTAGACATACCCGTTACTACGAAGAACGCTTTCAGGATATGAGATGTGGTTACCGTCATGCATTTCACATTTTTTTGTATTCTGATGGAAGCTGATGCTGTTGCATCTTTGCTGTGCAGCACACCGATGCTTGCATTGGCTTATGGTAGACAGTGAGACGGATGTTATCACGTGACCATGAATCTTGAATCCAGGGAGTGAATAAGGAGACCGCTGRCAGTCCTCTGACATAGTTTGCCATGGAAACATCAGCACAAAGACTACGAAAATCATCTGTTGCGCACTGCAACGTTAGAAAAGAAAATCGATGGATGGATGCTTGCATGCATACAAAYCTTGCTGTTAAGTACAAAATCATGGTGCATTGTGTAGCAAAGCATGATGGTAGTTGTAGTGCTCGTACTTTAATTTATGCCACTAAAACAACCCACCTAAGCATGCKCTTTTCCTAAAAGTAGTTTCACCGTTTCTACAAAGGAAATGAAAAAACTATAAATGAGTTCGGACTACAACTACTATATTTTCCTGCACAAAATAGCGTCGCTACACATTGCTACACATTGCACATGTTATAGGAGCAAAGTGTATGCACTGAATCTAGACCAGAATGCAATGCATGGTCGGCGCTATTTCAAAAAATATTTTTGAAATTCACTTCAAMTTTGGTGTAAATATACAAACCTACGAACAGAAACTCTCTCTCTATACAGAATGAAAAAAAAACAATAATAAACAAAAAACAAACAAACAAACAAAAAAAAACAGAGGACTGAAAACCAATGGAGGTTAGAATTCATTTGATTGGCACAGTTCCAATATCTAGAAAAATTAATAAAGTAACAACTGCTTTATGTGCTTAATAAGTGTTGGGAATTTTGTTTAATTGAAAAAGATGTAAATCATACATCTAMTTTTCACCAAAATTCTATTTGTATAGAAAATTCTAAAAAAAATTATATAGTGAAACAAGCATGCACTGACGTCATCTGTACCGACCTCTTTTTTTGTTACTCAAACATACACWGGACAACATGGACAAGAACAACCAAAACAAGAACGACAAAGAACATCATCAAGCACAGGAAGAAAAACAAGACCCGAATCAGACAAGAACAAGACGAGAACAACAGATGGAGAAACATTTTAAACAGCTCTTATGCATTTCTTTCTTATGCAGTTCTTATTCGTTAGAATTGCCAACTGAGAGTTTGACATTTTTTGTCTCCTTAATAATTTCAATCATTAGAACACTGTGCATATTYCATTTCAAATCATTGTTTTATTATCAGACCAACTGGCAGAACTGGAGAAGCTTTAATTAAAGACTTGTCAATAGCATATATTTCGTAATAAGTTGTCACATAAACATCTAAAATGTCAGGCATTCAGCCTACCACCCTATAAAAATAATTATTCTTAAAGATTTTTCTCTGAAATTGTCCGTACACAAAAACTTGACGCGCTCTCATAGTGTTATAACTGTTATAATATCATATGTACTAATTATGTATTCATGCTTTTATGGGTTTCCTGTGTTGATTAGAATAGAAATACCATGTGCTGGATTTATGGCGTGTCAGTACTATATATAACACATTGCATTTGATTTTTTCCATGAAAAACCTTCCTCGGAACCGTTTTCGAAACTGAAACTTGAGACTATTAATTTTTTATTGACGGGATTTATCAATAATTCATTAATTCATCTCTCAATTTACTCTAACGAACCTAACACCCGAAACTTCAGTAAGTTTAGTCTTTTGAGGGCAGTGACCGGCTGCCGGGCACCTAGACACTGTGTTTATATTTCTCGTATTTCGAAACCGTTTCGATGCAGCTCACACTACTTTACCGCTATCGAACATTTATCTCTCACATACTTTTAATTAATTTTTGAAAAATTTCTTCTTTCTGTTTAAGTTTCTTCAATTAATATAAAAAAACTTGTTTAACTGTAAAATGATAAGTAATGCGATTTAGAATTACTCATTTTAGGTGGTAATGAGTAGAATTCAGCATATAAATATTCAAAACAACTCGACTTGACCATTAAAAATTAATACCGCGCAGGTTGTCGAAGCGCAAGTCACATCAAGCAGTTCTCCTTCGAACTACATCCACCCTGATGGTCATATTGTTTCTTTTATAAATTATGTAATTGAACAACTGAAAAATAAAGCGATTAGAACTGAGTCAAAATTTAGTCCTTTTCACCCATAAAATAATCACAAAATTTCAGAACCGATTCACTGGCTTATCGACCTTTGCAAATTCCATATGGCATTTACATTCCTGGTCCCAATATGCTATTTTTCTCAGGTATTCTCATATAAAAAAATGCCTCACTCTCTATGTAGTCAACGAAAATTGCTTTGTTAATTCTATGCTATATAAATCTACCAYACTGATTTTTTTATAAATTAACTTGGTCTATCCAAGCGTTAACGACTTGATTTACTACGCTAAAAACTAAGAATTTACTTTTAAAAGAACACTGTAACATGTACAATTAAGGACCGTTTTGAACCCTGTTAGTTAAGGTCAGACTTCGTCCATAGGAGAACGCACGAAAAGCTATCGACGTATGTCTTATCTATGCAATACGTTTTTTAAGAATAATACATCAGTTCTGATAAAGATATTTACCTTTGATGCAATGTTGTACAATGTTGTTCTTAATCCCTTAGCAATGAAACACGAAACCTTTCCAACTGATGACCACTCGCACCTGCGTTATTCTCATTAATTAATCAAGGTTATAGCTAAAGTACTCACTATTACATTATTAAACTGCAGTATAAAGTTCTGAATGGCTTATTGTCCGAAGCAGCCCTATCACCTTCGAGATTTGTGCTCTTGTGACGAACTTTTGTTTATTTATGCAGGTAAAGTAAAAGGGAGGGACAAAAAACACTTTAGTGAAAAACACCAAGTTAAACTATATAAAAAAATATCCCTCTCAAATGTCCGTGCAGGTCCTTAAATCCTTGAAAAGTGCTTGAATTGAAAACYCGTTTTCAAGGRCACTTGAAACTCCTTAAAAATTTGAAAATTTCGAAAAAGTCCTTGAAAACTCCCTGAAAAAGRTGGATCTCTATCACGAAGCGCTAGCGATCTCTGAATTATTCCGTTCAGCCGACGTTTTGAGGTAAGAATGTACAATTAGTATGATTTTGATGCTCCTTGAAAATACAATTTTGGTCCTGGACTGAAAAGTCCTTGAAAAGTCCTTAAATTTCGTTTTTGATACTCTGCACGGACCCTGTTTTTAGTTCATTGATTTTTTACCCAGAAACCAGTTCGGACTAGTCGCGTTTCGTGAAACGCGGCCGACGACAACCTTTTCTCAATCGACTATATATATAAACTAAAGATATGAATATGAAGACCGCATGGCACTATGATAAACACGATATAGAA